AGCTTACTTCTCCCTCTGCCCAGTAACCCTGCTTGTGCTCTCTCTCCTTTCTCTCTCTCTCTGACAAATAAAAAAATAAATCTTTAAAAAAAAAAAAAATTAGAAGAGTTTGAGGCCAGACTTGCTCCTGTGTCTTCCAAGTCCCAGAATACAGGTTTGTGGAAAAGAAAAATTTCACACAAGATACTTGTTAAAAGCAGAAAGACAGATTTTATTGGAGCTAAGTGTAGTAGGGAAGAGACTACAGTGTGTATATTGAGCCCAACTCCACTGAACAAGAAACAGGAGGCTTTTAAAATCCTGGGATATGCTGAAAGGCAAGTACTGAAGGACACTAGGGCCGGGTGGCCAATGAGCTGAGGCCTCTGTGGCAGTTATCAAAGTTAGGTTCCCATTGTCCCACAGAGACTGGGAGACCCTGGCTTTGTCTTCTTGTTGGTCATATTCAAAGGATGGCACCCAGGTTCTTGGGACAGACATTCCTGGGTTGCAGAAGATACATCTCAAAGGCACAGAGAACTTAAAATCGCAAGATTTCTAAAGTAAATGCTCTAAGAAAAGTGAGGTCAGGGGCTTATAGTCAGGTTTTAGCTGGAACAAATAGTAAGTTCTTTTGGCATCACTGAGCTTTCTCAGGTGGTCTCTTAAAGGGAGTTGGAGTTATCATCCTGGGGATATGGTCTTAAGCTAATAGAAGTCATGTTAAGCTTGTTCAAGTCTCTTAATTGCGGGGGAGTGAAGGGCTGGTGGGCATGGCAGACAGTCATATGTGCTGAGAGTTTTGCAGTTTTCACTTGTTATCATTCCCTGTGGTCTCTTCATTTCAGTGCTGGATGGAAAGGATTTAAGACTTCTGGGGAAGTCTTCCTTATGCCAGTACTAAAGAGAAGCCCAATCTTACTTTAGATCCCTGAAAACCCCAAGCCTCATGAAAGATCCATGCTTGCTCTCAATTTCTTACTTTACTGCTAGGGTCCAAGACAAAGGATTACTTTCTTTTAGGCTAAAAGACTATATCTCCTGCCTTTCTGCCTTGTGTCTCAGGAGTACTATTTGTCCAGCAGCTGTTAGACAACTGTGACCTATACCCTAGAGGGAGCCAAACTTCCCAGTAAATCTATTCACTATAGGCTCTGGAAACCTTGCTGAAAGGCTCAGGGGGAAGCGAATATGTTATTATTATTTTCCACTGTTTGATTCTTGTAGCATTCATTAGATGATTATAGCTTTGGGATTTGATGGATGGTGCATTCTGTCTTGTCACTGTATTTCTGAGCTGGTCTGTAGCTACTCAATAATTACCATGTAGCAGAGTGGGGCATGTTCAAGAATGCTAATGAATTATCAGTTCTCCGTAAGCCTCATTAAATTTCTTGATAGCAAAACCTCCCATTGACAAGATCTCCTTCAAAATGAATTTCCAAACACCCTTGTTGCTTGTCAGGCATGAGACTATCTCCGCATGCATGAGATAGTTTGGAAACCACCCTGGGTTCCTGCTATGCCATTGTTTCATACATTTTTTTGTTAGAGTTTTGCATGTGTGCATTTGTGATATACGTGTGCTGTGGAGAGGTCGACCAAGAAACTAAAAGAAAGGCAATACTAAATCCCACTGTAGAATTGAGTTTTCTAGTTGGAAATTATTTTAAACTCATCTTGAACATTGCCTTTCACCCCAAATCTATTTTTCTCTCAAAAGCAAATAGCAAAATGATCCCCTCAATTCTTCTGGCCAAAAGCTTGGGCATTATCCTTGCTTACCTTTTCTCTCTTAGCCCTCACATTCAATGCAGGAGTAAATCCAGTTGGCTCTACCTCCAAAAGATATCCCAAATCTCAGGGCGCCTGGGTAGCTCAGTCAGTTAAGCATCTGCCTTTGGCTCAGGTCATGATCACAAGGTCCTGGAATGAAGCCTGAGTCAGGCTGCCTGCTCAGGAGGGAGTCTGTTTCTCCCTCTCCCTCTGCCCCCACCCCTTTCTCATGTTCTCTCTCCTTTCTCTCTCTCTCTCTCTCTCAGATAAATAAATTTTTAAAAATCTTTAGAATATATCCCCAAACTCTATCCTGTTCTGTGTATCTGCATTACCATATCTCTAGACTAAGCCATCACCCTCTCTCTCCTCATTTACTGAAACCACTTCACGACCTTGTTTTCGTGCTTTCATTCTTACCCGTTAAGATCCATTATTCCCAAAGTAGCCAGAATCATCTTTATGAAAATAAATCAGATTGTATGATTCTCCTGCTTCAAAACCCCCAGTAGCGTTCTGTAGCAAGTAGAATAAAATTCAGACTCCTTTACTTGGTCTACACTGTCCTGCAGGAACTGACCCTTGTCTACTGCTCAGACCCCTCCTAGCATTTTCCCCACTCTTTACCACCGTCTAGGCAGGCCCAGCTCACAGCCTTCCCACTTCCCGTCCTCTCTGCCTGCAGCATTCTTTCCTCTGAGCTTCACGTGGATGGCTCCTTCTGCATTTAGTTTCAGCTCAAATGCCATGCAAGAACAATTCCTCAGAGAACAGCCTCTTACTTTCAGACACATTCTCTAAGATTGCTCTTTTATTAGCTTTTAAGAATTGGTCATTGCTGAGGATTTTATTGTATTTTTTATGCCTAGTTGTTTATCGCCTGCCTCCCATGACTGGAATGTAAGCAACATGAGGGCGGGGACCTTGTTTTTCCTGGACACTGCTGTATCCACAGCACCTAGAGGAAAAACTAGCACATGGCCGGAACTTTCGAAGGATTTCCTGAGTGATGAAGGGACAAATAAAGGGGTGGAGAAATCAATGTAGTACAATCCCTTTCTTTCTTTCTTTCTTTCTTTCTTTCTTTCATTTTTTTTTAAGATTATTTATTTATTTATTTAACAGAGGTCACAGGTAGGCAGAGAGACAGGCAGAGAGAGAGAGGAGGAAGCAGGCTCCCCTCTGAGCAGAAAGCCTGATGCGGGGCTCGATCACAGGACCCTGAGATCATGACCTGAGCCAAAGGCAGAGGGTTAACCCACTGAGCCACCCAGGTGCCCCTCCTTTCTTTTTAAAATGAGGAAACCGAAGTTCCCAAATTGAAAGTGACTTGCTCAGAACCACAAAGAGGAGACCTATTCTTCTGACCCTGATTTTTATGATCTTTCCAACGTATTAACCTGCATCTCACTGTGGTTCTCAGCCAGGGCGATTTTACCTACCAGGAGACATCTGACGATGTCTGAAGAGATTTTTATTTGTCTGAACTGTAGAGAGATTGCTACTGGCACCTAATGAGTACAAGCCAGGGATGCTGCTAAACATCCTTTAATTCATAGGACAGCATTCCACAGCTAAGAATTAGGTGGCCAAAAAAATCAGTAGGTCTGAGGTTGAGCACCCCTAGTAGTGCTAGGGGAAAGGCAGGATAAGCCTCCTCCATTCTTCACTCTTCCTCTGAACCCTAGGAAATCTTATGTAAGACTGGCTCTGTTGCTCTACCTAAGTTGAGCAACAGCCCTCATCTAAGAAGGATGTTGTCCTTGACCATAGGGCATGCCGCCTTCAATTAATATTGGTTATAAAATTTGTTAAAGAAATTAGTTGCCCAAACTGTTCTTTCTGCTCATTTGTATTATTATTTTTTAAGATTTTATTTATTTATTTGACAGAGAGAGACACAGAGAGAGAAGAACACAAGCAGAGGGAGTAGGAGAGGGAGAAGCAGGCTTCCTGCCGAGAAGGGAACCCAATGTGGGGCTCGACCAGGATGCTGGGATCATGACCTGAGCCAAAAGCAGACAGTTAATGACTGAGCCACCCAGGAGCCCCTCATTTGTATTCTTCTACCTATCTCCTTCAGTCATAAATTCTACCACTTCTAAGAAGCCTTTCCCAAGTCCACAGTTCATGTCTCCCTAAACTATACTCTCTTAGCACTCAACGTATATGAATTCAAATACTAAATTAAGCTCAAAAATTGCTCATTTCCCCACCATCCCTGTTTTATGCATTCCTTGAAGCAGGCACAGAGTCTCGACAAGACACTGGGCACTAAGTGGTGCTCAGGAAGTACCTTCTAGAAGGAAGACGCATGTCTCTGACAGGCTACATATCCACTTAAAGTGACAACAAAGAAAACCTTATAAAATGAATACAAGAGAAAAGGAAAACTTTCCCTTTTTAACTGCAGCTAAAGGAAGTTGGGAGGCAGGAGTGTTAATTGACATATCTTTTCAGAATATTGCTTCTCTTCTGTGCATGAATGCAGGCATTCATGAAGCAGGCAGGCAGAGTCAGCTCCCCACCAACTTGGGAACAGCCTCAATGAGTGATTATCTCTAAGGTGGTGGTGGGGGTCCCTGGAGCTGGAGGAACAGTGTGGTGTCTGCAAATCCTTAAGCCGATGACCGGGACAGGGCAGGCAGCCTGGCTGTGTTATCAGTACCCCAAGGGAGATAAGAAAAACAAAGTAGCCACCTCCATACTGCTTGCTTTAAGCCTACTGTGCTATTCAACTCAACATAGCTGCAAACAAACAAGATTAGAAATAAACGGTAGATTTCCTTTTAAAATAGAACATGAAACAAAAGCTTTTTTTTTTTGCTTTTTTTTTTTTTTTTTTGGTCACCATGGACAAGACAGTGGAAATGCCTATTTGAGGAAAGCAATTCCACATTAGCTTAAAATACCCATTTAAAACACAAAACTCCGAACCTATGATGAGGGAGCAGGAGGCTGGCTGAAAACAAAGCAAAAGCTGGCACCTTGCACCCCATCTCCACCCGCTCCCCTCGGTAATATGTTTCACATTCCTCAGGCACCCCTGACTGCCATAAACAAGAAACAAATAGTCAAATAGTTAACTTGCAGAGATCACAATCCTGCAAGACAGAGTCTCCCTGGTTTACAAATGTACTTGAGATTTACAACAAAGAAGTTACCTTATCAATAGCCCAATTTCCAGAGGCACATAACTCAGTTCCTCAAGCCCTAATGTCACCCTCCCCTCCATAAACAAAACTGAAGGAGGCTGAGGTAGAAGGAAAAGTAAATAAAGTTAAATTTCTTCTAAACCTAAATCTCACTAACAAGGACGCTTTGATAGCAGGAATGTAACATTCCACCAGGAGACTCCCAATTGTCTTTATGTTAGTGCCTCATTAGAGGGAAAGCGGCCTTGGCTTGATAGTAACCAGGCCTTCAATATCCTGACAGTCTTCTTTACCCCAATAGCCCTTCTGAACACCCCTTTGTCCTCACCTACCCAATTCCTGTGTATATAACCAGCCACTCCTCACATGCCTGGTGCAGCATCTCCGTCTGCCCAAGGGTCCTGTCCCCGTGCTCTAATAAACCACATTTTTGCACCAAAGACATCTTAAGAATTCTTTCTTAGCTGTCGGCTCCGAACCTCACCCCACCGAACCTCACCTAGGTTCAAGAACTTCATCACCTAGAAAGGCCTTTAGAAATATGGCCATGTTCATGGGCCACCTGGGTAGCAGCCAGTTAAGCATCTGCTTTTGGCTCAGGTCATGATCCCAGGGTCCTGGGGAGCCTGCTTCTCCCTCTGCCTGCTCCCCCCCCCTCTGACAAATAATAAATAAAATCTTTTCTAAAAAAAGAAATATGGCCATATTCCTATTTTATGGATAAGGAAACAGATCTGGAGAGGAGAAAGGACCAGTCTGAAATCACACAGCACACCAGTGGAAACCAGAATCTTCACCTGAGCTTCCTGTCCCCAGTTCCCATTGTGTATGTGTGATTTGGAGTGAGGGATGGGGTGGGGAAGGTCAGTGGGCCAGAGAGTCTAAATACCTGGGCTCCAGATTTTATCAAACGACACTGTGTGATTTACGGCAAGCCAGTTCTCTTGCCTCACCTTCCCCATCCATTCAGTAACGGGTTTGGCCTGAATGACCTATAAGGTGCCTCCCAGTTCCAAAGTTGCATGTTATGACCTCAGCTCATGCAAATAATAAATAAACAAACAAATAAAAATATATAGAGCACATACTTTATACCAGCTAAATATTTTTTTCCACACAATATCTCATTTAATCTTTATGACCCTATAAAACAAGCATGTTTATTACTTCCATTTACATATGAGAAAGCTGGGAGTCAGGTTAAGTAACTGGCTCAGAGTCACACAACTGGTGTGTGGTGACAGTAGCATTTGAACATTTACCTGTCTGACCTCAGGGATGGAAATTACAAGTTCAAAGAATATTCAAATGTTAGTTCTGTTCAGTTCTTCCTGGGACTGAGACCTCACACGCATCTGCACAGAAATCACCCCCTCTTGGGACACTGATTGTGTATCTCTGTAAATTGTACCCATTGATCCAATGATGCTTCAAGATCACCAAGAAGTCTCACACTTATTTTATAAAACAAGTTTTTAGATAAGGGAGAATTGTATTTATGACCCTTATTTTGAACATCTTCTCTTTTGTGAATTAAAATTTATAATCACTTCTCTGGTTCTTTGTTTGGACCGACTATCAACTCCCTTACAACACCAGCAGAATGCCCCTGCCCACACTCAACATACTTCATACTCTCAATTTTGAGTATTATTACTGATTAAATCCCTAGTGTTTGCAAAAATGGTGGGAGCAAACATGATGAGTGCAGTGCAAATTTGAGCAGAGGATTTTGGAGCTGTGATAGAATCACAGGAATCACCCTTCCATCTTGAATAACTTTTTTTTTTTTTTTTAAGAGCAAATGAGCCAAAGAAAAGAAATAATAAAGATCAAAGTGAAGACATGAAATAGAAAACAGAATAAAAATAGAAATAATCAATGATTTGAGAAAGTGCTAAAATTGGTAAACCTCTGGCCATACTGATCAGGAAAAAGATGGAAGGAAGGGATGGAGGAAGGAAAGAAGAAAGCAAGGAAGGAAGGAAAGAAGGAAGGAGGGAAGTAGGGAAGGAAGAAAGGATGGAAGGAAAGAAAAGAGGAAAGAAGGAAGGCCATCAGTATAGATTTCTTTGATATTAAAAGTATAAAAAGTAATATTATAAACAACCATATGCCAGTAAATTCTACACATTGTTTGAGATGGACAAATGCCTTGAAAAACACAAACTACCGAAATTCGCTAAAAAAAACAAAAACAAAAACAAAAAACACAAATATGCCCATGTCTATTAAAGAAATTGAAAAATTAATTAATAACCAAACAAAAAAATCACCATGCCCAGATGGTGATTTTTATCACAGAAATACAAGTTTCCTTTAGCATTTGAAAATCAATCAGTGAAATTTTTTTTTTTAAGATTTTTTATTTATTTATTTGACAGAGATCACAAGTAGGCAGAGAGGCAGGCAGAGAGAGAGAGAGAGGAGGAGGAAGCAGGCTCCCTGCTGAGCAGAGAGCCCGATGTGGGGCTCGATCCCAGGACTCTGGGATCATGACCTGAGCTGAAGGCAGAGGCTTTAACCCACTGAGCCACCCAGGCGCCCCATCAATCAGTGAAATTTATTCATATTAAGAGACTGAAAAGAAAGCCCACATGATTATTTCAATAGGCACAGAAAAAGAATTCAACAGAATTCAATGTCTATTCATGACTAAAAACTCCTACCAACTAGAAATAGAAGAAACATGTTCAATTGGTAAATAGCCTTTAAAAAAGCTTTTGACTAATATCATATTTAAGAGTGAAGATTTAATCTTAAAATTGGTGAAAAAAGGCAAGAACACCTGATTTCAATGCTTTTCTTCAGTATTGTACTGGAAATCCCAGCCAGTGCAATAAAGCAAGAAAAATTTCCATACAAATTGGAATAGAAGAAATAAAATTATCCTTATTTAGCGATATTAAGGTATCGCTAAAACAGCTATAAGATAGTAAAGGAGTTTATCAAGTTTGCAGAGTACATATTGAATACACGAAAATTAATTGTTTAGAAACAGTAAAAATTAATTGTACCTAAGCAATAAACAATCATAAAATATAATTAAAAACAACTTATAAGTTCATCAAAATATGAAGTAATTAAGGGTACCTGGGTGGCTCAGTCCATTAAGCATCTCCCTTCGGCTCAGGTCATGATCCTGGAGTCCCAGGCTGGTGCCCTGCCATAACGTGATCAGATGATCAGCAGTGAGTTTGCTTCTTCCTCTACCCCTCACCCCACTCATGCTCATTTTCTCTCTCTCTAATAAATAAATAAATAAATAAATTAATTAATAAAATCTTTAAAAAATATATGAAGTAATTAGTGATAAATTTGACAAAAGATGTACAAAACTTATACACTGAAAATTACAAACCATTAACGAGACATATGAAAGGACACCTAAACAAATGGGATATGCCACAATCATGAACTGGAAGAATTTAATTCTTAATATTTTTAAGAATTTAATTCTCTCTAAACTGATCTGTAGATTCAATGAAATTCCAGTTAAAAATCCAGCAGACATTTTTTTAACACAAATAAAAATTTTCAAGATGATTTCAAAATTGATATGACAATTCAAAGGACATGCTATGGCCAAAACAATTTTGAAAAAAAAAGAACAAAATTACAGTCCTCACACTACCTGATTTCAAAACTTATAAATCTATAATAATCAAGACAGTAAAGATTTTACATAAAGTTAGAAGAACCTATTAATGCAACAGAATAGAGTATAGAATCAGACCCACATGAACATATGTGGTCAATTGATTTTTGACAAAAATGCAAAGGGAATTAAAAAGGGGAAAGGATACATATTCAACATATCGTGCTGGTACAATTTGATAGCCATTTGCAAAATGAATCAACCTGAACTCTTATCACAATGTTAAAAAAAAAAAGCAATTCATATGAAACATAGGCTTAATTGTGAGATAAAACTATAAAACATTTGGAAGGGAAAGTCTTAGGGACTGTAAGTTAGGCAAAGACTTCTTAAGTAAGATACTGAAAGCATAAAACATGAAAGAAAAACATAGGTATGTTGAATTTCATCAAAATTGCTCTTCAAAGGTTATTAAGAAAATAAAAGTGAAGTCACAGATTAGGAGATGACATTTGCATAATATATGGCTGACAATGGGCTTTTATCCAGGAAATATAAAGCACCGTTACAATTCAAGAATGAGAAGACCAGCAACCTAAGTTTTTTAAACGGGCAAATAATTTCAGTTGGCACTTAGGTGGCATATAAACCTACGGGGAAAAAAGGCGCCTAAATTTACTAGTCATTTATGTTTTTAAATTTTTAAAAAAGATTTTATTTATTTGGAAGAGAGAGAGCATGTGAGAGAGAAATGGAGGATGTCTGTGTGCATGAGCAGGGGGAGAGGGAGGCACAAAGGCCCAGGGAGAAGCAGGCTCCCCACTGAGCAGGGATCCCAATCTGGGGCTCAGTCCTGACCTAAGTCAAAGGCAGACACTTAACTGAGCCACCCAGGTGGTTTTATTTCTTTATTTAATGCAAAATAACCACAATGAGATGCAATTACACATTGACTAGGATGGCTAAAAATTTAAAAAATAATACAAAAGAAGATGATTCCAAATATTCATATAGAAGCTGGGCAACTAGAACTCTCATATACTGCTGGTGGGAATATAAAATGGTAACCATTATGCAAAACAGTTGCACTTTTTTTTTTAAAGTTAAATGTACACCTGCTATAAAACTCAGTCATTTCACTCCTAAGTATTTACTCAAGAGAAATGAAAGTATTTATTCAAAATAAGAGTTGTACATGAATATTCATAACAGTGCTATTTGTATTAGCCAATAATTGGGCTCCACCTGAGTGTCTATCATCAAGGTAATGTAAACAGTTTGTGGCCAATCCATACAATGAGACAGTATTCAGCAATAAAAAGGAACAGACTATTTATACATGCTACAACATGAATAAGTTTCAAATTAATTATACTGAGTATAAGAAGCCAGACAAAAGAAGAGTACATAGTGCATGAGTCTATTTGTATTAAAAAAATTTTTAAGAGAGGGTTGGGCGAGGGCCAGAGGTAAGGGAACGAGAGAATCTTAAACAGGAGCCACACGCTGCATAGAGCCCACACAGGGCTTAATCCCACAGCCCAGAGATCACGACACGGGCTCAATTAAGAGTTGGTCACTTAATTGACTGAGCCACCCAGGCGCCACCATTGGTATAAAATTCTTTAATTTTTTTTTTTTTTTAATTTGACAGACAGAGATCACAAAGTAGGCAAAGAGGCAGGCAGAGAGAGAGGAAGGGAAGCAGGCTCCCCGCAGAGCAGGGCTTGATCCCAGGACCCTGAGATCCACAACCTGAGTGGAAGGCAGAGGCTTTAACCCACGGAGCCACCCAGGTGCCCCAAGTATAAAATTCTTTAAAAATGCAAACTAACCTATAGGAAACAAATCAGGGGCTTCCTGCAAATAAGAGTAGAAAGAAGGCTATGGTATGAGAAAAATTTTTGGAATGATGGAAATCTTTGTAATCTTAATTGTGATATGGTTATAGGATACAGCCATATGTCAAACCTGTCTAATTTTACACATTAAATGTGAGCGGTTTATCTTACATCTATTCTACCTCAATAAAGTGGAAAACAATTTTTTAAAGAAGAGAGGCAAGGAAGGAAGATTTTAAATTTTGTAACAGTGACCTTGACAGAATCCTCAATGAGAAAAGCATATAAGACAGAAAGTCACTGAGAAACTGAGGAGAAGAAAATTCAAGACAAAGTCACGATATATTAGGCACAGAGCTTTGAAGGCACAGCATTCTATCAACCATTTTTTTCAGTCTTAGTTTGGTTTAGATTGGTTTGATAGAAGAGAGACTCTGAGAAGAAGCTGAAGCAGTGCTTTTAGAGTGTAAGGCCTCAGAATGACGCATGATGCTTGGGCAGAGTGTAAGAAAGAATGTGAAATCATAGGCTCAAAAGGGTGACCATCACACACTCCACCTCCATGGCTGCCAGCATGGTCTGACTACCTGAAGAAGTCTACCGTGCCCTGGGAACGAGATATGATTTAGGATGGGGCTATGAAGTCTGATTGCAAAGCCCAGCTCTGGTAATTAATGGGCATAATGTTCCATGTTCCAATGTTACCTTACTTCTTTTCCACCTAAAACGAAGAACAGTGTAATCACAGGCTCTGCTTTTCTTTGCAAAGAAGCAGGGAGGCTGGTGAAAATCTTGGTAAAGTGCTTTGAACTCCTTGGAAGCTCTGATCATCTTCTCTCTAAGGATGAAAGTCCTGACCTGCCACTATTCCCATATGTGCCCTTCATTTTGCCTCCAAGAAGGCCTGGCTACCTTCGTCTGGTGCTTATAATTCTTTAATCTTATCTTTCAGTCCCCTTCTCCTCCTGCATATGTTCTGGCCAAATGGAGCCACTCGCTTATCCCCAAGCACAGTCGGTGTTCTCTTGCTTCACTAACCTCATTCATTCCTTTTCCTCTGTCTGGAATCTCCTCGCCTCTCACTCCCAGACCTGCCTGTCTAAATTCCAGCCATCATTTAAAGCCTATCTGAAACATGATATCCCCTAAGAATCCTATTACCCTCTCCCTCTGCTACAATCCCATAATAATTTTTTTGTATATTTCTCATAATATTCACTGCTTCCCATTTTGTTATGTGTTTATTAGGTACATGTCTCAGGCCCCCTACTAGGATAAGCTCCTTGCCCATCTCTCTGATGCTCACCCTTCCCCAGCACCTGTCGCCCAAGGAGGCTGCTCAGTCCCTTGGCTCTAAATGGGTGCATTGTTTTCAAAAGGGCACCAGGGTGGCTCATGGGTTAGGGCCTCTGCCTTCGGCTCAGGTCATGATCTCGGGGTCCTGGGATCGAGCCCCGCATTGGACTCTCTGCTCAGCGGGGAGCCTGCTTCCTCCTCTCTCTCTCTCTCTCTCTGCCTGCCTCTCTGCCTACTTGTGATCTCTGTCTGTCAAATAAATAAACAAAATCTTAAAAAAAAAAAAAGTGGTGATGAATTCCCTTGTACATTTCCATGAAGTGCCTCTTGAGACCCAAGGTCACCACTTCGCAGGGCTGCTAGAGAGGGTTAGGCAGTTCTGCTAGGAAATCAAGTGTTTTCCTGGGCAAGGCCAATTGTGCAAGCATGTGAGTCCTGCCTTGTTAGCACAGTTCTCTGGTCAAACTGCCTAAGAGCATAAAAAAGCAGAAGATCTCCAAGTTTCACATGAGGCTATAAACGATCATCATTGTTAAAAGAGATCACCCATTTCTCAGGGTCTGAGCAAACGATTTGAGGAGTTGTTGCAGGTTTGGGGAAATATCAGTAACAGTAATTCCCATCCCATCCCTAAGACCCACTTCATTCTGTGTTCTCTCATTCTGTTCTCCAGTCACCTCCAGTCCTGACCTCTGGGCGTCTACCACTCTATAAAGTCACAGTTGAAATGCAGAGGGAGTTCCAATGCATTTTTCTAAGAGCCTTGCAGTATATTCTTGCCAAGGGGTTCTCTCTCTGCTATGTGTATCCAAAACCAGCTTCCATGAACATGTTTCCAGCTCAGCAAACATTCAACAGGCAACATATTTTGAGGCCTATTGTGTGTTAGTAACAGGGCTGGGCATATAGAGATAAATAAGACCCAGATCCTGCAGGCCAGAAACACTCAGTCAGCCAGAACAGTCTTTGATCTTGTGAAATGTATTTTTTTCTGGTTCAGACTTTTATGACCTCTTTGGATGCTCCTACTCTATCAATTCTCATTTTAAGGTTCAGTTCTAGAACAGTTTTAACAGAGCAAAAATAACCTCCTTGATTCAGACAATCAACTCAGCCAACTGTGTCTATCCAGTGGAGAGAGGCTCCAAACCATCACCCGAAGAAGTAATTTTACAAAAGCTCTGGGGAAGATCATCAACATCCTACAGGACAGTAATCCTGATGTACGAGTTAAGACACGTGCACAAAGAGGGAAGCTGTTCTCTCACATCTTAGTCTTCCATGCAGTGTAGATATTCTCTGAGATTTTCGAGGTAATAAAGACAGATAAGAACAGAAAGTTCTGGAAGGCACTTCACAGAGACCTCAGGTGGATCATACTCTTGGATGGCAATTTTCTCAGGTGTGGATAATGAGCTCTAGCTGAAAAGGCAAGAGTATGTCCCCCAGCAGAGCAGGAACAAACCTGGCCTTTGTCTTGAGTAAGGTTTCTAACAGTCGCCTTTTTAATCGACAGACCAAATACCCAGCAGCTGCTACCGCCCCAGGTCCCGAGGCTGGAATGCAGCCTGACTATTAATTTCCTGAAAGCCTAGCAAAACAAAGTGGAATGCCAGATTCTCAAGAAAGGTATCCTCTTCACTTAACCAAGCTTCCTCCAGCTTTTTAACCTCTTCCGAAGGTCTCAGCCAAGATAAAAGAAACATGAGAGTGTCACCTTGGATCCTGTCTCACCACGCTGAACCACCTGAGAAGCCTATCATACTTGCCAGCAGAGATCGGGCTTCATCTTGTCAACAGCCTGGCTGCCCTGGGATTTTCTGTTCTTCACATCTGTCATTATAAAGACAACGTAGACACTTGTCAGTGCGCCGTGCCTAACTTTTTCAAGAGTGGCTCCTGAGACATGCTCCAGAAGGGGGAGGCCTGGCTGTGTGTAATGAGCTCTGGGCCAGCACAGTGGACTTTTAACTCCCTGTTTGACTCCTTGTTTATCCTTGAAAAACCTGTTCTTTTTGAAACTGTGTATTCATCCGAAGTCCAGGGAAATAGCAGCCATTTTGTCTGCGGGATGTCTGTAACGCTCAAATGAAGTGATGTATGCGAATATGAGAGCAGAAGACCCCAGTGATTTAGACAGTAACCACTGACAGACAAGGTGGGCTCCCCAGGTCAAGGGAGAGACACGGAAATTTTTAATCAGTCCAAATGACCAAGAGGAACAAAACCAGTCAGCAAAGCCTGAGATGACAAGCTTGCACAAAATTTAGCCAAATTTGCAAAAAGACCTCTGCAACACATCCTATTATGCTCTCCAGTGTTCTTGTATCCTGAAACTGCTACCGGAAATAGTGAGCTGTCTCCTGCTTGCCACTCTGCTCCCGAAACTTGCAGATTGGGACTTGTGCCTGACAAGAGTCCTTAAAGGGCACAGAACTTGTGTTTTTTGCCTCTTTAACTCTGAGCTTAATCCTTCCTCTTCAGAGCATACTTCTGGCTTGTTGTGAGAAGCTATGTCTCTGTTATTTGCAAACTGCATGGTGGTAAATCTTTTCCTTGCCTCTGACCAAATCTTTGCATTCCAGAAATTTTAAATGACAAATATACTTGCTAAAAGGAAAAAAAAAATCACCGTATAAGTGTAAAGAAATAATACAGTTGATGGTTAATCTTTTTTTTTTTTTTCCTAAGATTTTATTTATTTATGTGAGAAAGATTACAGGGAGGAAAGAGAGAGAGAGCACCAGCAGCGAGAGGCGGAGGGGCAGAGGGAGAGAGAGAAGCAGACTCCTCACTGACCAGAGATTTCAATGAAGGGCTCCATCCCAGGACCGGAAGATCACAATCTGAGCCGCCCAGGTGCCCTATGGTTAATCTGCTTAACTTGTATTTATTTATATGGACCACATGGACATAAATAGTTAGCGATATGGTCTTTGTTAAATAACAAAAGAAAAAAAATTTATTAGGGATAAGAATTAACACACCTGATGCCTGGACCATATTTGAGTTTTAGCACACAGGTACATGGAAAAATAAATTTTCATTGAATAAAACCTGTGCACGTGAGTGATGGGACGCAATCTGGGTATCAGCTCAAACTCCAGCTGTTCTTTAGCCTGTAGCAGGTATCTGTCTCAGGCACCTCCATGCTCCTGGAGAGTGTTGCTAACCCTGGGCATTACTATTAAGGGGGCTGGTGTCTGGACAGGGAGCTCAATGGAGGAAACCAACAGGTCCCAACACATTTAAGAAGTTTAGCTGTGTATCATTCTGCTTAAAAGTATTGGGACAATATAATTAGAAACAAATCTCTTCCCAACCTAGAAAACCTCTCCACAAAGGACATAGAGAAAGAAGACACTTGACTATTGACTAAACATTAAGCCATGTGATAAGCATCACAGGGAACCTGCTAAGTGATTGCAAAGACAGAAAAGACTCTCTCTCAGCCCCTTATATGACCAAGTGGATACAGTAGACACATGTTCTCAAAATAAATGACAACAGGTCCTTAAGTAAGAGGACCTGACAGCACCTTTGTCATGCATGGTTCATCCTAACTTTGCCTAGGGAATTGGAGAGAACACCTGAGTTAAGCCAATTGGCTTTATCCAGAAGAGAAACAAATTTTTTCATATCTTTATGACAAGAGGTATAGCTTTGCAAATTGGAGTAAGGTACTCATGGAAATTAGCCTCTTACCCTCCTATGGGAACTGGGAAACAGAGAGCTACCCCCTTGATGTTTGCATTTCAAAAAAGATAGTTCCCAGGCTCAAGAGAAAAGACAGTCCTGGGTCAAAAAACTTACAATAGATCTCTCTAGTCTTCAAAGGAGAGCATGTCAAAGAGATGAAAAAGTGCTTACAACTACAAGCTTTCTGAGGTAAATGCCCTAAGCCAAAGGAAGGGAGGGAAATCTTTTCCTTTATTTTCAAAAGGAAAATAAACCTCTTATTTTTAATTTGTCCTTGTCCTTACAACAGCCAATAGCTCTTAAGCAGAAAAATTACATTTGAGAGAATAGATGGAAGGTATGAATGGTGAATTTTCTGGTGATAGAAAGTCTGGATAACTGCCTTTCGTGGTTGGCTTTGGAGGCCAGGAGAATCCCCGAATTTCTACTCTTCCTGAAGCAAAGTCTCAGACCCTCTCTGATCTTATGAGCTAGTAACCAAAGGGGGGATGTCAATTCTCACAAATTAGTCAGCTGCTAGCAGCATGTCTGCTGTTTCTCTGGATATTTCTGCTCTGAATGCTGCCCTCTACATGATCTCAGCCGTCACCTGTCTGGTAGACGGGCCTCCTTGCTCCCCACCTCTGCAACTCTGACCTCTCTGTTTTACAGAGTGTTCCTGCTGATCTCCTGCAGAGGAGGGTCTGGAGAGCCACACCCCTGTTGGTCACCTACTGTGGCTCTGCATTTGTCATGTCCTGATGCTGCTCAGGCTTCCAGCAATATTGCCACAGGTCGTCCCTTAGTGACAAATGATACTTGAGGAAGCGGGTCCCTTTACTACACCACCTGCTTACCTTCTTACCTTCCCTGCTCACCGGCCATATCCAAAACTCTTTTCTGCAAATAGGGGTACACTTTCTCCTTCCTGTGCCCCACTTGGACCCTCAGCAATAGAATTCTTTATGTTTTCCTATGTAGTCCTCTCTCATGGCATAGGTGCCCTGAGGAAACTAGTTGGAACAGTTTAACATAGTGCCTCAGGCAACCAGAGTCCCTGCTTCCCAAGACAGTCCGAGCTTAGCACTGAAATTCCCCCAACTCAATCCAGAGCAAATCAGGAGAGTTGGTTACCCTGTGACAGCATCTCAAACTTTAACGAACATGCAAATTCCCTGGGGATTTGTGTGCATAAAGACCCTTATACAGTAGGTCTGGGGTGTGGCCATATTTTGAGTAGCAAGGGTTTAAAGTACAGCATCATGGGTTTGGGTTTTTTGTTTGTTTGTTTGTTTTGTTTTGTTTTTGTTGTTGTTGTTTTTGTTTTTTTGTGTTTTTTTGAGATCGATTTCCTTCCCTTTCAGGCTTGCTATTATTAATGTGGGCACCCACACTAGCCTCTGTTTAGCTGTGATTTTCTGAGCTCCATCATCCCATTGCTCTCATTGTGATCTGGCTTTTGCCAGAGGCTCCTCTGATCCACCAGATGGGCTAGTTGCAATCCTGGTAGTAAACATTGACCTCTACTCAACATCCATCCCTCATATTTTCCTTCCAATAGGAACTGAGAAATAAGTAAAAAAATGGATCTAACAGGATTTAGCAATCATATCTTCCAGCTCTTATGACTGTAAGTTACTTAAAAGCAGAGACTATTACTCATTCCTGGTCCTTTATTTTTTTTTTTTTAAGATTTTATTATTTATTTGACAGAGAGAGATCACAAGTAGACAGAGAGGCAGGAAGAGAGAGAGAGGGAAGCAGGCTCCCTGCTGAGCAGAGAGCCCGATGAGGGACTCGATCCCAGGACCCTGAGATCATGACCTGAGCTGAAAGCAGAGACTTAACCCACTGAGCCACCCAGGTGCCCCTCATTCCTGGTCCTTTAAACACAAAACATGACTCCTTGCTAAGAGCAGACTTTCTATAAATGCTTGTTGGTTCCCTGTCTAGGCCCTGATTTCATTCTCCAGGACCTAACAACATTTAGAACCTTCTAGCAAATGGAAAAATGATAGTAGCAGAGGCATCTTGTGTTGTAAGGACATAGAATTTAGAACTGGGTTAAAGAATGGCTGTGTATATCTCCAGGGTTCATATTTACTATAAAATGCTCTTGTTTTAATTTAACCGTGATTGGGCCTGGGGAAGGCCACCCCAAAATAGGCCAAAGCAGCATATAAATTAATTTGAATTGAAGTTATTTAAGAAATTGCAGGTGTAAGAAGGCACTCTGACACTCCTCCCTATCTCCCTGAAAGCAGGAAATAAATGTCCCATGTGAAAGCTATTTTCCCTGTACCAGGATGTAGAGAGACATCCTTACAGCCAGAGATAGAGAATTTAGGGCCAAGAAGGCTATGTAAACAAACTCTTATTAGTTACTTCACTAATTAGTGCCCACGCCTAAATTTCTTTGTCAGTTCTTCATAAATTTATTGTTTCTTTATCTAAAAGGTACATAAACAGCCTACTTGGCCAATCCTTAGGTCCCAAATCTGTGACACCTCTATACATATGAAATTAATTTTGTGGGTTTTTTTCTCTTGTTAATCTGTCTTGTGTCAATTTAACTATTGGACCAGCCGAAAGAACCAAGAGGGATGAGTGGAAAATTTCCCCGTCCTGACAATAGCAATTGCCTTTTAGGTAAATGGCATTACACTATGAACTCTCTTACTGAGGTTAAGCAAAGAAAATAGTTTGCCGGGTAAACACATGTGGACACTCAAAAAATAGTGCTAGCCTAGGATGGATCATCAACTTAAAAATATCTATAAAGTAGATAATTTCTATCCAACAAATGGCAAACAAAATGATAGTGTTATAATAAACATAATTTATTTAATATTTTGTTTTTCCTTTATGGCGGCTTTGTTTGCAGAGAGACAAACAAAAGGAGAAGAAGATTTTAGGGAAAAGGTTGAGCAGAAAGATGGTAAAAGAGATGCTTAGATAAACCTCTCATTATATAACCTATCTAAGGTATAAAAATTATATATTTTGTCAATGCATAGATGAACTGTGGGGAAAGTGAAGAAGCCAGGCATAAAAGAAAATATGGCTCCTTGGGGAGAGTTTGCCCTTGCAGGAGCTCTGATTTGGGGTGGCCTAGACGTTTCTAACTGGAGACAAAGTCTGAGCTTGGGTCTGAACACTGAAAGAAAGCCTAGAAGAGTCAAGGAAAAGGATTACCCACACAATTGATAATGTACTTCTCAACTGCAACACTTGAAACTAGAAGATATTTTTAAATTTCTAAAAGAAAATGATTGTCAAAGTAGCACTGTGAAATAATCTATCAAAACAATAAAGAAATAGAGACACTTGCAGACCAACCAAAACTGAGTTTACTTCTGACATCTCTCACTAAAAAAAAAAAAAAAAATGTGAGAGTGATGTTCTTCAGAAAAAGGAAAAGATTCCAGAAGAATGATCCAACAAATGAAAGGACACCAAACCAAGAACAGTGTGGACTTCAGAGTAAAATCAAACTGATAGTGACTGTAAAAGAAATTAACAATATAGTTCCATTTTTGGTGTAAAATTCAAGATAAAATTCATATCCTGGACAACAATGGCATGTGGGATGAGGAAACTGATTATCTCAAGTCATTTGAGTTTCCTTCTGTTGTTCAGGAGGAAGATAAATACTTTGAACTTTAGATTTATTTAGGACTTTGAGTTAAATGGGCTTGTTAATATTATAAGGGTAGCCAGAAAAGTGGGATGTAAAACTTCTAAACTGGTGGAAGAAAAGAAGTTGAATGGGGTAGGAGTAGGGGACAGAGTAAATCCAAAGGATGGAAAGAAAATGGAATTAAAAAGAAACATTTAAAAAACAGAAAAACGGAAAGTATGAAATA